CCAAATTCGGGCAGCGCTTCGCTTCTAACGATTCTATTTTCCTTCGACGAAACCTAGTATTATTATCGCTAAGTTTTAGTCTAATCTTTATTGTGACTAATTATTAGTCTAGATTCATCATTAACTCAAAGTCTACTTTCATGATCTATCAAGTAAGAAACAACCAGGTAGGATCATATCGGAGGTAGGGTCCGTTTGGTATACGAAATATACTGTTTGGAAATCCCACTTTGAACACCTCACTACATCACAGCCTAGACATCATTCCCGTAAGTAGATCAATCAGTATAACGAATTTGAATCACTGATAAATCTTATTTATAGGTTCACAATAACGATATTATATTTAAACATAAGCTATACTTAAAATAGGGTAGGCGTATCTTACTTACAGCGGGTTTTTATTAAAAACCGGGCTTCGCTGGAGCAGCGTTTCCGAGCCGAAAAGCTCTTTTTCTTGGAGCCTTCGTGCGCTCCGAGGCTTTCTTCTAGCGCTAGGGAAGTTTCCTAGGCTTTAGGGGGGTTTAGGGAGTCTAGAGAGAAGTTAGAGAGAGAAAGAAAGGCTTATGGTGTGAAAAAAATATGATGAGTTCATCTCTTATGTATAGGAGTTTTCTCGTAGAGTAGGCCCTAAGTTTCATCTGTATCTTCCACGTATGAGCTCCGTTTTCTACGTTCTTTATATTAATGCGTTGGTATTTACGAGTACTACAACTTTCATTTAGACCTTATCGGCTAATTCTCATTCTATCTCCGATTTGCAAAACTGTATCGAATTTATCGCGCTCGAAGAGTAGGGACTAAGTTTCGTCCATATCTTTCGCATACGAGCTCCATTATCAACGTTCTGTATATCCACGCATTGGTATTTACGAGTACTACAACATTCATTTAGATCCCGTTGGCTAATTCTCACTCTATCTCAAATTTATAAAACTGTATCGAATTCGCCGCGCTCGAAGAGTAGGGACTAAGTTTCATCCATATCTTTTCGAATACGAGCTCCATTTTCGACTGTCTTTTTATCGTTGAGCTCCTATTAACGAGATCTTCAATTCTCGTTTAGACTATTTTTGTTTAAAACCCGACCGATCTAAAATTCGAATTTCGGGCTATGCCCTGCTATGCTAAATCTTAGAAAAATCATAACTTCGTCATACGAAGTCAGATTTGGATGTTCTTTTTATGCACACTCTCGGTTTAACATATACTACGAATTTCATTTAGATCGCTATGTCTATTAAGTATTTTATCGTAAATTCACTTTTTACGATTCCCGGTGTCGTGCTGGTTTTGCCGTAAAACTTCGACGGGTCATAACTTCTTCGTTAGAACTCGGATTTCGGCGTTCTTTATATGTACAGAACCCTTGTGAAATGTACTATAACTTGGTCAATATTACTCCTTCTAAATAATCTTCCATCAAAAATTCATTTTTGACGCTCATTGTCTCTAAATTGACTAGCCCGAATCTGCGGTCGTTACAATTATCTCCCCCTTAGGATGATTACGTCCCGGAATCATCAACAAAACAGGGCTTGTGTAATGACTCCATATGTTATATCTTCATCCTAGGTAATAATCGTAACTTCTATATTCCTTCGAATCAGTATCTATCTCTTAGACTTATTGACTGCAAGCAATACTCGATCGTGCACCCACTCTCTTTCTCACGTTAGTCTTCCAATCATGACCTTCGAATCACAATCTCGATTCCTTATTGGATACTCTTTCTTCTTAACAAACTTAATATAAGTTCTTTGATTACGACCATGGACTAATGGGTCATGTTCTAATGACCTCTCATCGTATGATGCGACGCTTAGACTCAGGTCTTTTAGAGTCAAATTCAAGAACAGAATATACCTTCCTTCATGTTCTAACGTGATATAATCACATTCTAGCATGTGGCACTTCTAGGTAAAAGCTTCTAACTTTAACAACGGTTGCGATACTTCTATTGATCGCTTTTATTATCTTTCACTTCAATCTTCTGACTTTAGTTAGATGCTACATCGATCTTGGTTCTTTGAACCACGTAACATACTCATCTTAGTCGGACTCGATTTGATATGACCACAAGGGTCGGATTAACAATCATCTTCTTCGTCATTACCGAAACGATGGTAACGACAGGCATGAACAAAACATAATCAATTACTAGTGCATTGGTAACCTTGTGACTTTCCTTGATCCAAGCGTGAGTCCTGTGCTTCCGGTAGTATAGGCCTCTACTACCTTTCAGACCTACTCATACTCGTCCCAAGTATTGTCTTGTAGTTCTCCAAGTCATTATCACAAAAACAATTTTAACACATACAAATGTGTCCAAACAATCATATAATTTTCCCTAGACTCTACTAGGACTTCTTCCATGCGTAACTTCAATCATCAATTCTGATTCAACTCGGTTGGTGATGGAAATGTCAGACGATGGGATAACTTCATGGATTATACCAAAAATCTTTCGTTCTGCTAATCAAAAGTGTACTTCTCCCATGCTAGACATATTATTTCTTAGATGCGTTCTAAAGGCAAGATATCACTCTTACGATATCTTTCGATAGGTACCACTCAGTATCGTAAGCCTTCTCATTTCCTCCATTTACTCAATTCACTATGAGTCTTCACCATGATGTTTTGCACACCAAAGCAGTCGTTTGGTGTATCGAGACGAGGATAAAGATAGAGGAAGGTTTAGACGCGTATTCCTCCTTATTACCTCGAAAAGTTATATGCCAGTTCTAATATCGTAATTAAACGTTTAGAAATCTGAACACATAAAATTTCCAGATCCGGTCGGCAACAGACCATAAATCCGATCAAACGATAACATAAAGCATCACAAATTATGAAGCACATAAAAGCATCTTAGACATCTTCCCTAATTAAGCTAGTGCTTGTGTCTATTCGGGCGTACTTCCTAAAATATATTAGACACACTCCTTACGATCATCGCTTAGCATTCTAAGTTTAAGTCTAGAAATAAATCATTATTCCTAGTTCGCTTAAACTAATGGTCTGATACCAACTGTGACATCCCTATTTTCATGGCCAGAGAAGACCGATTTTGTTTATGATTTATAAAAATCAGAGTACCTATTTTAATAAAAATGTTGCAGAATTCATTCCCAGAAAAACATGATAAATACGTTATCAAAGCATTTCCGAAGAAATGTCTTTTTATCCATTTTAAAACATTTGGGATGTCATTGTCAATACAGAAACATAAGCATAAACAGAACTTACATTCATTTACACTAGTGATCTACACCTCTTTAATCTCTCAGTGTAATGTAACTTCGTATCGGCACCTGTGATTCAGATAAGCTTGAGTGGGTCAGGTTGGGAAACCTGGTGAGTACATAGGGTTTTCAACCCACAATAATATAATTATTATGTTTAAACATCAAACAATCAACCCAATTACCCATCCCCATTATCTTATTTACTCTTAAGGATCTACCCTAAGAATTAACTATTCCTCGTTCATTCATTCCTAAGGATCATCCTAAGGAATCGACACTAAGTCTGCATAGTCGCCAGGGTTTATATCGTTTATTGACAATATCGTTTTCGAGAGTCCACTCGTAATACTTGTCAATGGGTTTTTAGAGTACACCGGGTGAACACATCGTTCACAACACCTACAGGTTACGAGCGTACGAGTGTTACACTAGACTGTCTAGAATAGTCTGTGGTTGTCATCCATACTCTGCTAGATGACAGGGCCATCGCTTGCGTCATCGTTTGGCTCATTGTTTGGTTCATCGTTTTGGCTCATCGTTTTGGCTCATCGCTTTGGCTCATCGTTTTGGCTCATCCCTTTGGCTCATCGTTTTGGCTCATTGCTTTGGCTTATCGCTTAGGTCATCGCTTCGCACCATATTTTATCACTCATATATCATCGCTCATCATTCATCTCATCTTTCATCACTCATCATTTATCTCATCTTTTATCGCTCATCATTTATCTCACCTCTAATCTACCCATGTTTTACCCAACACATTTTGTAGATATAAAATACATATACAGTTTAGATCATTTAAAACATGTATAAAACGTTTCATCCAGCATAGACAGCAAGTATTCAGACAGTATACACACATAGCACTTAATTTATATAAAATACTTCTTATCTATTTGTAAGATGAAAGTAACTATGCACTCACTTGTCAAAGTGATGATTCCAAATTCGGGCAGTGCTTCGCTTCTAACGATTCTATTTTCCTTCGACGAAACCTAGCATTATTATCGCTAAGTTTTAGTCTAATCTTTATTGCGACTAATTATTAGTCTAGATTCATCATTAACTCAAAGTCTACTTTCATGATCTATCAAGTAAGGAACAACCAGGTAGGATCATATGGGAGATAGGGTCCGTTTGGTATACGAAATATAATGTTTGGAAAATCCCACTTTAAACACCTCACTAAATCACAGCCTAGACATCATTCCCATAAGTAGATCAATAAGTATAACGAATTTGAATCACTGATAAATCTTATTTATAGGTTCATAATAACGATATTATATTTAAACATAAGCTATACTTAAAATAGGGTAGGCGTATCTTACTTACAGCGGGTTTTTATTAAAAATCGGGCTTCGCTGGAGCAGCGTTTCCGAGCCAAAAAGCTCTTTTTCTCGGAGCCTTCGTGCGCTCCGAGGCTTTCTTCTAGCGCTAGGGAAGTTTCCTAGGATTTAGGGGGGTTTAGGGAGTCTAGAGAGAAGTTAGAGAGAGAAAGAAAGGCTTAGGGCTGTTTGGCAGGATCTGAATTTTTAAGATCTGAATTTTTAAGAGATCTGAATTTCTAAGAGGGTCTGAAATTTTAAGAGCTGAATGTTTAACATGTTGTTTGGTTGGGACCTCTGAATTGTTGTGCTAAATTATTAAAATGACTATTTTACCCTTCTGTTTTATTTTTTATTGAATTCAACTGTTTGTTTAGAAAATAACCTAATAAATTTCTTAAATACGTATTAAAAAAATATAAACACCATATAAAATCTAAATTTAGCAAGTTTATTCTGACATTATGCATAAAAATGCAAGTTTATTCTTACATTATGCATTTAACTCTTCTAAAACTACGACATAAACAAGGATTTATAAACAAATTTACAAACTACCATAACTTATACATCCTCTGATGTCAAACAGTGTTTGTAACTTTGTATCAAGTACAATATTTTTTTCAAAACTTAAAAAAAAATTAAAAATTGAATCAAAATCTTTACTTCTTTCTCAAAGAAACCCGAGAGATCAAGGCTCCAAGACATTCCAATGAGCTCAAAAAGCATTGACATGGGTAGGTAATTCTTGATTTTCTACAGCCTGCAGCAAGAAAATTCAAGAACTTGATGAAAAGTTTCAACTTTTTTCAAAAAAAAAAAAGTAGCATTTGATTTCTTACCTCTCTTGTATTGACAAAACTTCATCTTCATTAGGTTTTGCAGGAGTGTAATCTTGTTTAAACCATTCATCTACTTTAATATATGCCATTGTTATCCTTTTCGGGTTTGGATCAAGAATTCTCTTTATAAGACTCGGTGCTCCTGGAGTCATCCATTTATGCATTCGCACATCCCCTTTGCAAATCTAGAAAAACCCCAAATCATTACAACATTAAAGAATCAATAAGATTACAAATATATGCATTTTTACCTTCTGATAAATCAAACCTAGGTTTCTATCATCAAAAGGTAGATACACTGTAAGCATTGCATACAAGATGAGTCAGATGACACCACAACACCAAGTATCAGATGCCCCTCCATCATACCCTCTATTAGATAACACCTCAGGAGCTATAGCCTTGGCATCTGTTAGATAAATCACAGCTAGGTTTCTATCATCACGTGTAGATTTCAATAAAACGATCTAACAACCCTGAAAACCATTTGTCTTCAAACGATTTCAAGAATAGAGTTAACATAAATTGATTTTTGGAAAATTAGAGAAAAACAAACCTAGTGCGTGATGGAGGTTCAGTGGCGGTCGCCGGCGCTGTCGAGGGAGGATACCAGCACTGAAGAAGGTGGTGTTGTTGGAGATTGGCTTCGGAGGTCTGACCTTGGTGGTAGGAGTCGATATTAGAAGCTGTGAAAAACTCGTGTGTATGAGATCGACGATGGGGGCGGCGATGCTGTGCGACATCGACGATGGGAGGAGGTGAGAGGAGATTATCGGCGCTAGAGATGGTCGGATTTGGGAGGAGATCGGAGGGATGATTAAGGTGGGTGTGTGTTTGATGGACGGGCGTACGAGGGCAAACGAGGGAACACCGCATTTTTTTTTAGATATGAGCTGAAGTCTGAAAGTTTAAGAGGCTGTCAAAATATTAAGAGGCTTTTATTCATACCCAACCAAACACTCTTAATCTGAATAATTAAGAGGTTGTGTCACACCCCCAAACCAAGGATGGCGGAAACGTCCGGGGGTGGAGGACTTCATGTATAGTATCATAACAGCAATTGTAATAGTAATTCAAGCAAACACAACCAACATATATATGATTGAAAAAAATTACATCATTGTATGAATTACATGTTTACGAATCAATTACAATATATTGATAAAATATGAAATAGTAGACGCCTTAGCGTCCCATCCTCAAAAGCACTTGATTACCTGTTTAATGATTTCCTGAGAATACAAGTTGTTTAAAAAAATGTCAACACAAAGGTTGGTGAGTTCATAAGCTTTTCGTTTGTAAAAGTAGTATTTGTGTTAGAAAAATCCAATATTTTCCTTAATGTGTAAATGTAGTCTTAAAACCCAAAGACCGAAAGGTACAAGTAATTTGTCATATTTATAGTAAAACAATGCAAAATTTAAATTGACATAAACTCGTTAAATTTTAATGAAGTCCCCGTAAATTCCAATGTTTGTTAATACTTTATGTGAGTTTATTATAACCATACTATGACCAAGGTTGCCTAAAACGACGTTCTTCAGGCGTCGGAAATGTTATGACATTTGTCACCCCAGACCTATCGGTCTAACTGTTGCATGCAGTTTAGGTGTGGGTTTGTCAAACCCAATATAGATCTATACACAAGTATCACGCTCTCCCTCAAGGAGACTCTGGTTACAATACAGGACTTAATGGTAATTTGAAGTAATTGTCTCACAAAGTCATTAACGGAATTTCGTGTTATGAAAACTTGGTACCGTATGGCCGTACCTTGCTTAATGAAAATATCTTTGTATAAATGTACCCTTTTTTAAAATGTATGTGTTATGTAATGTATCATAAACTATACCTATTATAGTTTATCAACCAAGGGTAGTACGTAGTAATGTATGCAAACTATATTCAAAATAGTTTATTTAATGTTTGAATGTATCGATTTTACTTTGATTATAATCACTTGTTATTCTTTATATTTTATATGACCAAATCCATTTGTAAACTGATGTGTGTCTAAATATTAAGATAAAATGTCATATATTGCAGTAACATATAGTCACATAAAGATATACACCTTGCTCAACATGTTACAAGGTGAAATGAAATTAACAGCAACTTTTCGTTAAAAACAGTTTCTGTTACCGTTCTTAGAAAATTTATAGAAAAATCATCACAGCTCTAAATCCAAATCCGCAAATTTTGAGAGTTTGGAATATGAGTCTAGTTTGTTCGTAAATTTTATCATGATTTTTAGTGATCTCTAACAGAGGTGAAAATGTTCATAATCACAGACTGGTCCGGGTTTGCCTCTGAAATGACAGGCAGTTTTGTAAAAATCACCATTTATTGTAGAAAAATCATTTGGAGATGTGCAAATAGCCATTTTAAAGCTAAGAGTTTGAACTACTTGCACCTGAAACAGTTTTGAAAACTAAAATATTTAAGTTGACCAAAACAGTCCGTGGTTAACGTCCATCTTTTCTGATGTAATCTGTTAGAAAAAGTTTAATTGTGTTCTTGATGATTTTACTTGTATTCTCCCTTAAAACTTAAGAAAAACATGTAAATGTATGGGTATGAACTCACCTTATGTGGTTTCAGTAGATGAAAGTGAGAGAAAGGAAGTGTTCAACTCAAGAACACTAAGAAGATGTCTTGATGATTCGAAAATCTAACACCGAATAAGATGGAACTTGTGTAAGATATCAATGTTTTGAGTAGAATGGAGTTTAATAATTATGTGAATGATGAAGATACTTACTAATTGAAGCAAGAAATCCCTGGAGAAAGCCTTGAAGTTCTTGAAGTTGAGAGAAAAGATGAGAGAATTTTGGAGAGTGTTCTTGGTTGCTAAGTGTAGAATGAAAGAGTTTTATGGAGAATGAGGAGAGAGGATCAATCCTCCAGCTCTTAGAACGTGGGAAGAGCTGGAGATTGGCTGTAAAGGTCCACTAAGGAGACAAGGGGTAGTGGGAAAGAGTGGCTGGTCATAGAGTGAGGTGGTAGTGGGTTGCTTTTGCCATAAATTAAGGAAAAGCAAATATTCCCTCAATAATTAGATCAATCACCAATTCTTTTAATATATATTTTATAAAAACCCTGGAGATTTATATATTTTGGGGCCTTAGTTTATAAAATAAAGTTTTGGGTGAAAATCCCACGTTAAAATAATGAAAAACGGAGTTAAAAACGAAGTCGTAGTCGAAAAACCGGTAAAAAGGGCCTGGACTTCGGACCCTGCGAGACTTCGGACGGACCTCGCTTCGGACGGACACGACTTCGGACGGACCTCGCTTCGGACACGGGACTTCGGACACTGCTTCGCTTCGGACACTGGTCCTTCGGACCTCGGACATCGGACACAGCTTCGGACCAGAAGCTTTGGTTTCGGATCCTTAAAGCTATTTTACTCGTTTTTATCCCGTTTCAAGCGATTTTTGACCCGGTTAAGGGTCGAGATGACCCAAATGATTACAAAAAGTTAAAGTAACTTTTGAGAGAGATTTGGGAGAGATTTGGGAGAGATTTCAATTAGAAAGAGATAGAGTGAAAACGATTTAGAGAGGTTTCGTTTGTGATTAATTTGAGTGTCCGGCTTCACAACGCAAGGTTCGTAAACCCCATTAAACCGTGTTTTAGTGTCGTACACAATCCCGATGATTGTGCAATAGTGTTTTATCGCTTTGGTTCGTTGTTTAGCACTGTTAAGGCTAAGGAAAATCAAACACATGAACTTTCCAAATGAGGATTTCTCATTAAAATAGCGAATTGTATAGTGATTACATAACGTAAACCCTAGCATACAAGGGTTATTGGAGTTGACCGGTTTGACTTGTTGACTTTGAATTGACCGAAATTTGACGGTTGTCACATCATCCCCCCGTTAGAAGGAATTTCGTCCCGAAATTTTCATTTTGACTGGGATTTCAAGAGTTTGGAAAGAGATGTGGATACTTTTGTTTCATCTGATCCTCGCGTTCCCAGGTGAATTCGGGTCCTCGTTTAGCGTTCCAACGTACCTTCACGATGGGAATACGACTTTGTTTCGTTCGTTTGATTTCCCGTCCATGATCTCCACAGGTTCTTCCACGAAGTTGAGGCTCTCATTGATCTCGATTTCCTCGAGTGGAATAATGAGAGTCTCATCGGATAGGCACTTTTTCAAGTTCGAGACGTGGAAGGTAGGATGCACATTACTAAGTTCGCGGGGTAGATTGAGTTTGTAAGCTACGGGGCCGATTCTAGCGAGAATCTCAAAAGGCCCTATGTATCTTGGATTCAGCTTCCCACGCTTTCCGAAGCGTATCAAGCCTTTCCAGGGTGAGACTTTCAAAAGGACTCGGTCTCCCACCTGGAATTCCAAGGGTTTCCTCGCTTGTCTGCGTAGCTTTTCTGTCGGTCTCTTGAGGCTTTAAGTCGTGCTCGGATTTGTACGATCTTTTCGGTGGTTTCGCGGATGATTTCTGGACCGGTGAGAGTGCTATTAGAGGCTTGCCCTCTAGCTAGCTGTGAATCCCCCACCTCAGCCCAACACAGGGGTGATCTGCATTTACGACCGTAAAGAGCTTCGAATGGAGCGACTTTGATGCTAGTATGATAGCTGTTATTGTAGGAGAATTCGATAAGCGGTAGATGGGTATCCCATGCTTTACCGAAGTCTATCACACAAGCTCTTAACATGTCTTCCAACGTTTGAATGGTTCGCTCGCTCTGTCCGTCGGTTTGTGGGTGGTAGGCCGTACTCATGTCAAGCCTAGTTCCCAATGATTTTTGTAGAGACTGCCAAAACCGTGAGGTAAATCTACTATCTCTATCAGAGATAATGGATATCGGCACACCATGGAGTCGTACAATCTCTCTGATGTACGTTCTAGTCAGCTTCTCCATCTTGTCGGTTTCTTTTATTGGTAGGAAGTGTGCTGATTTGGTCAATCTGTCTACAATTACCCATATTGTGTCAAGCCCGCCTGATGCCTTAGGCAGCTTGGTTATGAAGTCCATGGTTATTCGTTCCCACTTCCACTCAGGTATATCCGGCTGTTGTAATAGCCCGGATGGTTTCTGGTATTCTGTTTTGACCTTAGCGCAAGTCAGGCACTTGCTCACATAGGTAGCAATCTCAGCTTTCATGTTCGGCCACCAGTATAATTTCTTGAGGTCCAGATACATCTTACCCGACCCGGGATGGATGGAGTATCGAGTCTTGTGTGCTTCATTCATGACGACATCTCGGAGTCCACCGAACTTCGGTGTCCAAATCCGGTTCATGATATAACGTGCTCCATCATCCTTGACTTCTAAGTTTTTATCCATTCCCCTTAATGTCTCTCCTGCCACCTTTTCTGGTTTCAAAGCTTCCAGTTGAGCTTCCTTGATTTGTATGGTCAGGTGGGAATGGATTGTCATTGTTAAGGATTTTACTCGGCGGCCCGAGTACTCCTTCCTGCTTAGAGCATCGGCCACTACATTGGCCTTGCCCGGATGATAACGAATTTCGCACTCGTAGTCATTCAGCAACTCCACCCATCTCCTCTGTCGCATGTTGAGCTCTTTCTGATTGAGGATATGCTGAAGACTTTTGTGATCAGTGAAGATAGTGCATTTCGTGCCGTAGAGGTAGTGTCTCCAGATCTTCAAAGCGAATACCACTGCTCCTAATTCCAGGTCGTGCGTAGTATAATTAACCTCGTGCGTCTTAAGCTGTCTTGATGCATACGCGATAACCTTCCCTCTCTGCATGAGCACACATCCGAGGCCTTGATTCGAAGCATCACAGTACACTATGAAGTCCTCGGTTCCCTCTGGGAGAGACAAGATCGGTGCGCTGCATAGGGCTTGTTTTAACGTTTGGAAAGCAGTTTCTTGTTTATTTTCCCACTTGAATATCACACCTTTCTGC